TTTTAGCTTTATTATTGTTTTTATTGTAAAGCGCTTTGTAACTCTGATATCAATAAACATAAATCCAAACTGTGTAAGCTGCACTTTCAATGACCCACCCTATGACTCTATTTATGCCCATTTTCAAAAACCTTTAAAGCCTTGATTTTTTTCTTAAATTCAAAAACTTTCAAGGATCTTTAGGACCTATGGGAACCCTGCCTGATGCATTTCCAGTGTAATCACATGGGGATACATCCACAATCCTCATTCTGTGCAAAATCAAGTTCTAAAGTTAAGCTAATATTAATGTGAGGCTGCTTCAGGCGTGTGAGTTAAACTAATCAAGTGGGCATCTTCCACAGTTAAACACTTTTAGTATGAAATACGATCTTTGTGTTATTATCCCTCCACCGCAGCCCAGCAAGTAAACACTGTCAGGGTAAACACAAAGAGGTGATGTTGTACTAAAAATAGAGTCACTTTATAAGAAACACACTCCAACTGATTAACTCAGACTGCTGAAGCATCATACTGGCTTCAGCTGAACTTGTTTGCATTGAACCAGGTCTGATCATGTCCCCCATTTGTCCCACTGGGAGGAGCTTAGGAAGGGATCTCTTAACAGCTAACATAAAGAGGAGGACTGATGACAGCAAGCACAAACATGCACATATGGACATGTGAGGAATGTTTAGAGACAAAAATGTGCACCTATTCTTTAGGACTGACCTTTCAAGCCAGGAAAATAGGCTCTCCGAAGTCTGAGTGTACAAAGAGCTGTTTGGCCTGTCTTGCCAAATGATGACCTAATGCTTTTAAGGGCATTGACTTTATGACAAACTAGCAGAATTACTTACTTACAAAAAATGCCAGTAATACATTTTATAGGAATTTAAGCATAATTTAAGCTTTGGTAAAAGTTGTCAGGCAGTAAACTAATCTTTTTAAGTCTGAGATAAAAGTATGGTTTTATATTCAAGACACAGATCAGTGGATTAACATAGGAAGGTGCGGTGCATGATGCAAACTAATGGAGACCTGCCAGCCACGCAGCATGGTATGTTCCTCTTGGCGATGATATCAAGTTGTTAAGTTTAATTAGTGCAGCTGGAATAAGTGGTAACTTCCCATCACATCCTTACCCACACAGTTGTCACACAGGCTGCAGTGGGAGGTCCGAGGAGGGCGGAACATTTTACAAGTGAAGCAGTATTTGAGCTTTACCACCTGCTGGTTGATGAGGATCTCCTTAGTTCGCGGAGGGGGGCGATACGTAGAGGATCCTGAGGTATCTTAAAATAGAGAGGCACAAGGAAAGAGACTCACTGAGACCTGCACGTTCAATCAAAACAGCTCATCCGATTAGCACTCAAATGATATAATAAGAAATCAATGAAAATGACAGTATGTCTGGCTTTTGCGCTCTCGGTTAGAGAATAAGCTGCTTAGGTGTTGGTAGGCAGTTCATCAACAAACACGTTCCTCAGAGATCCCCCATATGGCAAAGCTCTTTTGCCCCATCTGTCCCACAGTGAGTGTGCAATTTCAGGGAGTGTCTTACCTATCTGCTTCTCTATGTCTGCTGCTTCATCTGGGGTGGCCCTGGGTAAGATGCCTGGGTCTGTAAAGCTGGTCCTCAGCAGGGAGGTGACCACAAACACAAAGAGCACCCCACCAATCACAGGTATAAAGACGGTGAGATGCGTCACCAGGAATGGGCAACTGTAACAGGAAAATATGAGTTGGCTTCAGTCGGCTGGAGTCAAAAGCATCTTTAATCCCTGAGTGTATTATCACGAAACACATTGCAAAACAAGACATGAAGCAAACGGAATTCACAACTTCCTCATGCACATTAGGAAAGACCTTTGATGATGCATTCAGGACTCACTGGAAATACACGTACATAAGGACATTAATGGTTACTCACTCGAATGCAAAGAAAAGGCCACACGTGACAACAATAAGGCCCATTGTCAGAGGAAGGACACCGCTCTGTCTGGCCAGGATGATCCGTCCATCGCAGAAAAACCTGTTCTTCCCCGGGAACACCTCCCATTTCCTCCTCGTCCGCTGCTCCTTCTTCTCGGTGTGGTTCTGTGCGGACGAGGGGGACACCGACAGCGCCCGCGGATCGATCTGCTGGTACTCGCAGTTCTTCATCATGTAAACAGTATCGGCACTGTTCGGAGGTAGCTCAAGGCACACACAAAACTCTCCTGTCTCCGTCACGTTTTCCAGGAAGTGTACTCTCAGGATTCAATCATTGTAGGTTGATATTTCCCCTGTTCTGTTAGCGTTCAGTTGCCCATCCTGAAAGCTAACGCTAACTTAGCTAGCTAGTAAACCAGCATAGGCATTCCTCTCCGTAGCAGAGTTTTCCAAGCTGAACCAGTTCCCGAGTTGACTCAAGGTTAACTACCATCTTTGGTAGTTAAATTAAAGCCATTGGTAAATATTCACACTCATTTGGTTGTGTTCAGTCGCCGTTTATCAGAAACTCAACACAAACAGACGGGCTTCGGCTCGGGCTTCTTGCGGCAGTTAACATTTCCTTTTTTTTTTACAGTCAGCCAATGTACGTCACGAGGAGGATGTTGACGTATTCACCGCTGATTTGTAAACGCGCAAGCACGTCAGGTATGCGCAGCGATGACTTGTAGATCAGTGGCAAACAGCAGCGGCTGCAGCATGATTAGCGTTATCTGTGTGGATCGGCAGAGGCGGCTCTGGTGCTGTTTCTCCCACATGGATTAATTAAATCCCACATAGAGAATATAGAAATTTATTTCACAAGGGCTAAACAATATAAAACCTTGCTATTGTTTGTTTTGTTGCTCAGGGCTGCGGTATTTTATTTTATATTTTACAATTAATGTGTGGTTATTTGTTTAATCTATATATCAACATCATCATCATTCAGAGCAGATCTGATACACACTGGGTGAATCACTGGAGGAAATCATTATCATGAGGGCATAATTAAGTTCCCTGGTATTATTATTATTATTATTGTCATTGTTATTATTGAATGAATGAATGACTTAATTTTAGCAAAATAAAAGATAAAAGATAAAAACAAAACAAAGAAAACAGCAATCCTACTCAGTATTCATCTCCCATTTAAAAAGGAAATTGTCAACAACTATCCCAAACTTATTTACAACCATTAATATAGATAAATAAACAACAGCGGTAGTATTATTATTATTAGTATTAGTGTTGTCAGTATTATTAGTATTGTTACTATTTTATTTTAGGTCTAATGTGAAGAAATGAAGTTAAGGTTTTATCATATATAATAAACTATATGACATTTGAGATGGATCAGGCAGAGGAGGTTCATCTCAGCTCCTGTCTACATATCAAAGCGTCCTTGGGCAAGACACGAGAACCAGTGGTGGTGGGGTAGTAGACAAAACATGACAAAGTATCGTCAATGGCAGTGATTCTCAACTCACGGCTCATGGGCCAAATGTGGGAGCCAGGTGGCACGCTGACCATTTTCTAATTCACAACGAAAATCAATGCTTCAAACTAAGATTTTTGTTGTACTTACTGGATGTAAATAAAGTGTCACAAAGCACGATAAGCACCAAAATAGAGTACATTTATTTAAAAAAAAGAAAGAAAAAAAATGTCAGCAGGTCCCCTGGTTACTGTAAAATTTCAATTAGTAGCCCGGGCTATTATTTGCTTAAATCACTGAGATCAACAGTCTTATACTTGGGACAGGCCTTTCACTCCTGTCACACACAACTGTTGCTCAGCAAAGATCAGGAAAAACAAATTGTTTATTTAAACCAGTATGGATACTGCTTAAAATTAGGTTTCAGATAATATATCAATTATGAATCATTCAGTTGATCTAGCTCTGAGAGACAGTGCATCAGAGACATAACATGATAAATTGCCCTCTAGGGTGACCTTGAAATTAAGAAATCACAGCTAGCATTACATGCTAGAAAACTTTCTGCACTACAGTTGGTGCACTTTTTATTTTCCCGCCCCTGCCCCTTAGACAGTCCACCACCGACAGGACTCTGAACTGCTGCTCAGGTTAGCACAGTGCTTCTAAAAAACTGGCACATAGGCAGAGATCTCTGCAGACGTATACCACTGTATCGTATCAGGTCTGTCTCAATGCTCCTGTCATCTTTTGTGCATAGCTCTGTATAGTGAGATCTGTAGTCTGTCTGGTGCCATGTGTATGCATGGACTGATTCTCCAGAACATTTAATAAGAGCAGCAGAGGTAGTGGAGGGTATATGCAGATTTTCGGGGTGTACCCATTTCTTTTTCTGGCCCATCTAATCTATTTGTATATATAGGAGAATATGCCCACTTCCTTCCCAGTAACCTACCCTCCTACCCAGTAGTACACTCACTTCATCAACTACCACTACGCCACTGAGGCCTGGCTTTCTACCTACCAACCACCAGCTGCTGAGAATGACGACTGAAGGGGCAACAATGTCCTTGTTACCATGTTGAGTGCTTTCTGGGTCTGTGATGCATAACAGGTAATAGTCTCACTGTTTGACTCAGAGGCCACTGTTTTATGTGCACGTCAGGTGAGGCATTATTCAGTGTGTCTCCAATCTTGCTCTGCCAGGGATATTGAAGTTCATGCTACTTTTGTAACTCATGAGCACAGAAGGGCAAGAGGTGTTCATCTATTTAATTTGTGTTTGTTATAGCCCAAGAATTTATTGGATCTTTTTAATTAATTATGGGCTCTTAATTCTTTACCATCTAGCCTATGGGCAATTGTTCTTTTCCACAATATTCATTTTATACAGGCCAAAGAACGTAATGTTAGAAACTGTGTTCAAATAGCCAAGGGTCTGGTTAAATTGTTATTTTTTGTTTGTGTTTTAGTAGGGGGTTAGGTGGGGAATTAAATTGTTTTAATAGCATCCTCTGGTGGTTTTAAAGAAATGAGTGCAAGCATATGTCTTTGCAAATTACAGTGCAGTACAATTAAGTAAACCACAAAGGAAGACACACACACACAGTTTCCATACATACACATATGTTGTTTAGCTTTATCACATTTACTTTAATATTAAATTCAAGGCTAAACTTGCCAGTGCAACTTCAGCAGCCAAAGTTATTTACATCGAAACACAATACAGCAGTTTTACATTAAATGCCTCAAGTAAAAGGATTTCCTTTACATGAAACTAGACTGAGGATCCTTTAACAGCAACAAAAGCTTTATTTTTTTTCATTCACATTCAAAAAAAATCCCAAACTATAACTTGGAATAACCCTTCCAAACATGCAGTGCAATATTAAATTAAGGAGAAAATCAAATGTTTTGCTTCAGCAAAACCGCAGCAAGAAATAAAAATATTTCCTTTTCAAGTAGAACCATAGTCTTTCCAATATTTACAACTGAACAGTGTTCGATACAGTTTCAGGAATATTGTACATTTGAGTTTGTTCTCAAACTGTTATAAACACATTTAACAGAGATGCTCAAATCAAATTTGTTGACTAATTACTATTGCATGAATAAACCAGCATAAAAAATGTAACCATGTCTGTAACTTGTATGTAGGACTGGGCCATATAATTGTGTTTTCCCTTTGCATTGGATTTATTCACCCAAATAAAAGTAAATGATTTTATCTTTTTAATAAATGTAACATTGACAAAGTGTTGCAAAAATTGAATACTGATGATGTACTGTAAAACACTTGTGTTAATATGTTTTAAAGTAAGGTATATAGCCCAGTCCTACATGGAAATATTGCATTTAAAGCTCAGAGTAATGTCTTAAGTCATGTCCATGGCAAGAAATTACAATGCAGGGCCAGGCCAAGCACCCAGTAAGACAGGAAGTATCCCAGGATGCTCTGTGTAGTCGGAGAACAGGCTTTAAAGTGTGGCAGCAGTGCAATGATGGGGTTTTGAGGTGTGTGCTTGCATCCATTCCTGGAATGCGTCTGTAGCTGTACATTGGGATTTGATGTTTTCCTTCGATGAAGGAGTGGTTCATTAAGGAGGAGCAGGTGAGCACTTATCCAGAAGGGCACGGGAGACGAGGAAGCCATGAATCTGGTTAGGACCTAGAGATGCAGATTAAAAATGGAGATTAGAGGAAATCAACAGTAAAGAGTAAGATGTTTCACAAGAACATGATTATGTCATTTACTTACCTGTACATGCATGCACAAGGTTCCAAACACCAGGAGCACTGTTGAATGTACAACATACACAAACACTCTGGGGTTGAACATTCCCGGTAAGGGTTTGTCAAGCCCTTTATTTGCACCTGTCTCCCAAAGTCCGAGTCTCAGACACAGTTCTGGATTGGCTTGGAAATATGCGTAAGCTGCCATTATGCCGAGGGTAGCCATAGGTAGAGCCAGAATGAAGTTTGGTATCTGCTTTAGCTCAAAGTAGCGGAGGAATCCCACATCCCAATAAACATCCTGGATATGAGAATACAGCAGGGGGAGAGGTCTCATGCACCAGAGGGGCGGTGGACCATTTTCATCTGGAACCCGGTAGCCCTTCAGTTCACCCAGAGAGAGAAGAGCAGGGGAGATGCGTTCTAAGGAGACAGACGGGGTGCAAAACGTCCTGTACCCATAGTACTGGAAAGCACAGAAGGGAAGGGCAATAATTGCAGTTCCCAAGATGGAGGTGAGCAGGAGACGGATGATGGCCCAAATATAGTGGAAGACTTTACTGTGGCCTTTTGTTGTTGCTCGGTATACACGGATTTGGGAAATAGCGTGCAGTGATGGAAGATACAGTAGAAACCCTATGTTAACAAGTCCGTTAGATCGTGCTGCAGTGGCTATACTGAGAGCCAGGCAGGCTCGGAAGGTGAATCCTTTCTCCAGGAGGAACAGACCACCGAATGTGAGCGCAGCAAACAAGCTCTCTGAGTATGCAGCTGTCATGAAAACATTGGCGGGTGTGATGCAGTAGAGCAGGGTGGAGAGCAGAGCGAGACGTCTGTCCTGGAGAACTATCCTGCTGAGCGCATACAGGGCGACCACGCTCAACAGGAAGAGGGCACTGTTTCCCAGAGCAACAGCCACCAGCAGACGCCCACGCACACTCAGCCAGCTGCTCAGGGGCCACAGCAGCGTCTCTGCCAGGCCTCGCAGGATGACAGGGAAGAGGGGGAAAAAAGCAAAGTTGTGCTCATAGAGGTATCCTCTCTCAGCGATGAAGAGGAAATGCTCAGCATCCCAGTGAGAGAGGCCACCTAATAACCACTCCACTGCAGAGTCCAAGTACAGATGCTCCTCTGTCCGTGGGGGCCTGAACGCATCAGCATCATGGTCAGGGATGAGAGCATTTAAAACAGCCTGTGGAGAAATATTAAACAATATTAAAACACATCCTGCCATCATAAACACTTTTGCACTGCAAGGAAAGCACACAAGCATGTAGTCACTGCTTGTGACCTACTTACCACATACAGTATGCATTCCCCTGAGCGCTATTCATTAGCTACCACACAGAAACATATAATTGCCAAGGTGACTTAAACATCAGGGGGAATGAGGGTTAATCACAAGTCTTGTAGCTAAGAGATGGGGAAGCTAGGTTAGCATTTTGCCAACATTCACAACATTCAACCTGTCTAAAAACTTACCTGTAAAAACAGTGACAGACCCCTGGTGACTGTGGCGAACTCCAGAACTGCTCTGACATCCATAGTCATTGATGTGACGGAGAAAATCTGAAAGAGCCGGTTATGACAGGCCTGAGCATTGTCGCTGCTACGAGACAGTCACTGCTGACTTCGTCATATTTTCTATGAAGCATAGCTAGCTGGGGAAAGCTACTCGGCGAATGAGATTCCGGAAGTTGCGTAGTTTCATTGTTTTGACAAATTCAGGAGAATGTAAACATGAATTTTATCAGAAAGCTAGCCGTCGTCACATAGCGTTTGATTTCAGGTGCAATCTTTGTCCTCATATCCGCATCCCGCAGCAGCTCTGCTTCGTTTCGAATGACACGTTTCACTTCCGGTGCAACACAGCTCCCTTCAAAATAAAAGTCCAAATGAGAGGAACCCAAGTGTAGTTTCACTGAATGATTTTTAATAGCATAAAAATATTATAGCTTTTATTGACTTAAGTTTAACGGCTTAACATCAGCTTTGATTTGACATAGTCACATCCTGTGTTTTGAGTCTTTTGGTCACGAGACGGCTGAAATATTTACTTCCGTCCAGCAGGCGGAGCTCCACACTATCTTTTTGAAAGGGGTTGACTGAAGTGGCGCAAGTATGTTTATCTGAATTCAAAACGTGAGAACATCGTGTTTGCTCATCTTTTAGACTCTTAAATGTAATTTGCTTGATTTAATTCGTATTTTTACACATGCCTTTTTAAGATGTCTCTTGACGGTTGATTTAAAAGGGTGATTTTTTTGTGTTTCCATGATAACTGATTTATATTAAAATAAGCATGAGGTGTTTTTTACCCATTGTTTCTCTTTGGCCCCTGATTAAAAAATAGACTGAAATGTTTAACTTAAATGGAGCTTAAAGCTTTTTTTGCATACATATTTAATCGGTAGAGAGAGAACACCTATGCACAGTCCTTTAAGCTTTATGATATGTTCATAGGCAGATTATGTGACTATTGGCCACTGGATACAGATTTGCAAAAGGCCCCACCACCCCTCATACATAGGAGACTTAGACTTAGTGGTGGTTTTGCCTCCTTTTTGTTGTTGCTCTGCATCTCTTTGTAGTTGTTGTTGTTGTTTACCTTTCTGTGGTTTCCTGTTTGTGGTAATTTTGTGTGGCCTAGTCAAGGGTTTTTTTTATATGTCTCTTTGAGGTAATTTTGTTTCTCCTTGTGGTTGTTTTGTTTCTCTTCCTGGGCAGTATGTGTTAATTTGTGTGACCTTCTGCAGGTTAAGACCAGGGGGGGCTTGACACTCTGGGCCCCGGGGCCTGTGCCCAGAAGGCCTGTTCAGTAATCCAACCATGGTCATGCAGCATATTAACATTAGTGGAGCAACTCAGCTGTAGTTCTTCTCCTTACATGTCTGCAGTTAATTTGCTGAGCCATTTTAACAGTACTAGAGCTAATGCAAACAGTAATTTCCATGTCAACAGTTGTGTCTACTGAGTAGGACCATATTTCCTACAAGTTTCCTGCGGTGAAGACGAATTTCAGAAATTTTGTAACCCAATTTTATGTGAATTCATACACTAGTTTGAATTGTTTGTCCAGAAGAGGCCACTATTCCAGAAAAACAAAACCATCAAACAGCTTACGAAGATTTAATGTACATTTATTCTTACCACGTGGAACATATAGTATAAAGATTTCATACTGAATAAATGATATTCATTGAGCCAAAAAAGGGAAAGGGAGGAATTTACATGTTGTCTTAGCTACATAGTCTGAAATACAAATATGCAGAATCCATGACTGAAGAAAAATTGTCAAATGTGTACTTCATCTAGTTTATTTTTGTTGTACCAGGAGATAACAGGTTTGAGCCGTGTCTGCCGCACTACGGAGCTGTGGAGAGACCAGAGGTGTGGGTCTAATCAGCGGGGACTGGAGGTCACGGACCAAACTCACATGTCAGCCTCAATCCCTCACCAATAACAAGTGTGAGAATAGTGACACAGACAGAGACAGACACAGAGAAAGGAAGTGTAATGTACAACATTATATATACACCACAGCAAAGCTGTATTTGAAGTTGAAAACCAGTCCTAAGAGGTGATTTCTTTTCATAAGGGTATTCATACAATCAAGGGATAAGAGGAGGTAAGGGTGTTGTAGGTTCTTGATACTTTGGGGAAGAAAGCCATTTTCTGTTTAACACCAAACTAAAATGACCTCAAAACTCTAGAGGAGCTGCATCTTCTGCTTCTGTGTGAAACGTGTGTTACAGAATGCTTACACTCAAGAGCAGTACGGTACAGAAAATGTCCTACAATCTACTGCACACTGCACAGGCCTCCCCGGTGAAGGTGTCTATTGACAGCACTTAGTCTACTGTCGGGCTGACTGGTGAGAATCCAACTACAGCAACTATAACCAGTAGGCCACTTGTCAGTCTGCTTCACCTCTGAACGTCAACCAGTTACAGACTCATTGTGCCCTCGAGGGGAGAGCTAGGGCACACTGTGTCTCCCAAACTCACTGTAAACGAGACAGCAACTTTGGTTACAGTTTTTGTTTTTCAGCTATTTATTTATTTATTCATTTATTTATCTTTGTTAAAAAGTACTTTTTCCCCAAGTGCAGAACAGTCTCCCAACTGTGGTGCTCTGCTCTGTGTCATCCAGTTGGCATTCATGTTGCAAGTAGTGTCACTTTGTGGGCATCTCTCTGGTTTGTAATCCACCACAGCTCTGTGATTACCCTCCTCGAGCAAGGACGGCCTGGGGAGGGCTCAGAGAACGGAGTCTGAAGGATTTTCATAAATTAAAGACTGTCACTTGAACTTTCCTTGCCCTGTTACACACACAAGCCAGGTTTCCAGGGAAGTGGGGATCGGGGATAAAACCCCCAGAAAGTGGAGCCACGGCTCCCTACAGCTGTCATGACTGGCCAATCAAAAAGAGTACATCACAGATAACATGAGAAACCAGCGAGTTCATTAGGGGGGACACTGAAAGGTCGAGGAGTCGGGACTCGTGTAGTGTGAACTCTGAGTGGTTCTCCTCCACCTTGGCTAAGGCGTGCAGAGCCCGGGCAGCTCGCCGCATCATGTCCGGGCTTGTGGGCTCGAAGTGCATCCCCTGTAGGTGTAGCAGAGAGCTCTGGCTCTGCTGAAGCTGTGTGGCAGCCAGACTATCCTCCAGGAAGCCCAGCAAATTGCCCACGCTGCCTTTCTGAACAGCGATTGCTCGGGCCGCCACAGTATCACCCTGCGCCAGGTTGGCCAGTAGGACCACGGCCATCTCCCTGCACACCGCAACCTTCCTGTCTCCGATTAACCGCACCAGGTTCCCATATAGCTTCTCCAACCGACTGAATGGTGGAGTGGCCAAGATGAGGTCCACATTGTTGTCTTGGATGCTTAGTTTTCTTAGCGTCTCCAGGACCAGTCTCTGAGGTGACAAAGCACTGTGGGGGCCGAGGGTGGGGAAAGGGTCCTGGGCCTCTGCTGATGGGCAGACAGCCCAGTGGAGAAGCCCATCCAACAGAGGCAAGCAGATGCTCTCAGGGTAGATGGAGAGGTCCAGTTGGCCTGAGATGTTCGCCAAAGTGACCAGTGTGTTCTCCCGCAGGAGCTCCAAGCAGTCCCACCACCATTCATCCCTCTGGCCCATTCCCTCGTCTGAATCCTCATCTTTCTCGTAGGTGAGCGGGGCCTGTTTGCGCTCTGGGTGCCTGTGGTGGAGCAGGATCAGGCGTCCCAGGAGCAGTAGCAGCCCTGGATGTTTGGACATCTCGTGGTCATTGCCTGGCACAAAGGAAAGGCTGCGGACAATATTGGAGATACAAATGCAGCGGCGGGCTAAAGAATCCTGCCAGTTAGCCAGTGCAATGAGCGGACCCTCGTCTTTACTGTGAGGCTCGTCCTCCAGGATGGTGGCAGTCTGCTGTGGCTGCTGGGTTAAAACACTGTCAGAGGGAGGAATGGGTCTATTATTCTCCTGGTGACTTTTACCAACTTTTTCAACTGTCTTTGTCTCAGAGTCTGTTTTCCGCTCCTCCTCACCGCTGAGCGAGGGGCTGGCCTTCTCTGAGACTTCTGCTTTCTCTGAGGAAGATGCGTCTTTTGGCCTTTCTTCTTCATCCTGATTCTTCCTTTTCTCTTCCTCGATTGGCAAACAGTTTTCCAGTAACACGTCTTCTGGGACTCGTCGCTTCAGCAAACTTGAGGGCACTGATATCCGTTCTCGTGGTTCCAAGAAGTCTTTGCGTGGTTCAAAGTGAGTCTGGATGTGTTCTGTTGAGTCTCCCCCTCCGGCGCTCCAATGAATTAACCCACTATCAAACTCTTGCACTTTGCCATGATTATTGGACTGGCCAGCCGTAAATGGGTCTTTCTTTCGTACCACCTTTAGAGGAAACTTGTCAAACTTGCTGGCCTGTTTGGGTCTCTCATGGGCAGCTAAGGATTGCGATGGGGCCGTCTGTTCAGATGAAGGACCCTTGCTCTTCCTCTCCTCATCTTCTGTCTTCTCATCTCGACCCCGAGACTCAGAGCACTGCTGTTGCTCCTCCTCCTCCTCCTTCACATGAGCTGGCCCCTCCGTTTCTGCTTCCTCCTCCTCTTCTTCTTCATCATCCTCTCCTTCCTCTTGTTCCATGTCCTCGGCCCGTGGCTCCTCCTCTTCTGTGCTGTCCCAGTCTCCCTTCAAGGCATCAGGATCAAGTAGTGTCCTCTGGCCAGGATCTCCCACCTCATACTCGCGAAGAATGCCGAAGATTTCAATGAGGCAGCGTCTGAAATACTCAACCACCAACTCCAGTAGGCCAGGCAACTAAAGGAAGAACATTGATAAAGAAAATAATTAGACATTATCACTCACTACGCATAGTACACCGTGATTAACCATCAGTAAAGGCTCAATGTCAAGTCTCACCGTGTTGAGATCAAAGGTGGAAATACTGTTGTCATCATAGAGGAGAATGTTGATGGTATCCAAGGCCCACGTACTCTCAGCCAATAAACCAGACTTTAATGACATCATGACTCTCCAGGCTTCTGGGGTTCCTGAGTGGTCAAGACAAAGAACACAGTTGGTACTCTCTAAGCAACTTAAAACAACATGGCTGGACTAAGCAGCATTAGGCATAATAAAGGAGTTAAATATTTATGATCTTAACTTAAGTCATACCAATATCTTTCATGGTGAGTCTCCGACGTGGTTTTAGGACAGGATGGGAAGCTTCTATGGAGCCCGGGGGAAAAGGCATGTCTCGCCTTATCAGAGGCGACTGCACCGGAGGGGGCACTATGTGAGACGCAGGTACTGGAGGGCCAGCCTTCTGCATTTTCATTACTCCATGCATATAGGGAGATTTA